TGACATGTATCATCTATTAATATGGGAGCACATAGCACAGGGTCTTATGCAGTGGAGGAGTGAAAGCTGGCTTGTGGCTTTCTGAGTAACAGTTGAGGTTTTAACTGGAGTTCAGTCTCACCGCTGCTACCATTCTTGGGATATTTTTATCAGGGGAAAAGCATTCCAATCATTGTTCCTAATGGGCTGCCTGCTGCCAAATAATCACCACTTGAGTTTCCAGGTTATCATCAGGGGAAATCTGTTTCAGGAACTCCTGAGAAATAGGAAGGTTAACATACTCAAACACCTAACATTTCTTAACCTAATTTGGGGAACATTTTATATCTTAATTGAAACATTGCATAAACAGTGAATGATGATTTTCCATTTTGCAGAATTCATAAATTACCATACTGCTAAATACAAAGAGAATACATTTATTTTGCTAGCAACTTTTAGCCTAATCGCAAAGCCTAATTCTTCCTTCTAATGATACAGTCATGGTATGATGCACTTATGGAGGTAACATAAAACACCTGACTTTTAAAAAAGTCACTCAAATATGCTCTAGTTGGTTCCAAAGGAAATTTTAATACACATTTTACATACCAATTATGCAACAATAAAGCTGTAATGTTTACTTCTAACACATTCATTAAGGGTAAATGTTTTGAAGCATTTTAACATCAAGTTGTTAATTATGAGGATGCCTATTATCACCTGGGATGATTTTTGAACCCTTGGGACTAAAGACACAGGAAAAATCAAGAGATGCCTCAGCAGTACCATTACAATCATTACAAGGTCTTATTAACTGGAGAGGTCCTACTCATTGTGAAATTTCTTTTCTCTTACACATCACTTAAAAGAAAAATTCTAATTTTGTCTTTCTGAAAAAAAAAAAAAATATAAGGAACACTGCTTTACTATGACAACAGTCTCCTTCTAAATGACTAGTAAAATGTCAAAACAATTCTCTGCCCCAAAATTTTATTAACTAAAGTGCCTAAGGAACCATGTTTCTAGCCAAATATTCCAAAAGCTTCATAGTGACAGTCCAGTTTTCCAAACTTTTTAATAAGTCCCTGGTTGCTACTTAGTAACATTTATTTTTAAAAGAATTGTTGTTACCTTGATAACAGAATGAAATACACAGATGAATACATCCAAAAATGGAACTTATGCAACTACCTAACTATGTTAATAACCTAAGTTAAATTATTGACTATTCATATGAATATCAAAAGAATTGGTGCTTCAATATATGCTTCTAGGATTTTATGAGAGAAACAATGTGCTTATCTAGCTACTTGTAGAAAACACTTTAAAAAAGAAAATGTCTAGTCTCTAACATTTCCATTCTCCAAGTTGAACAAAAAGTTGCTTAAGAAGAAGATATGCATCATCTTTAGAACTCAGTCACAGAACCTTCTATTACTTTGAAACCAAAGTAAACAATCCATCTCTTGAGACCAAAAGGTCTTGTGAAAATTTCTCTACTCCTGGCATTAGACTAGTCTTGCTCAGGAGAAGCTTAACCAGTGTATGCGGTTAAGCTTCTCCTTACTCAGGAGCCTCTGTGATTATTCTGGACTGGCTTCCACAGCGTTCCATTCAGTTACACTGTATTCTAGTCTATATTTTCCACCTTTAAACATTACTCCAGTTGCAAAGATCTAAAAAAGATTAACAATGATTGTAAAAATACAAGATTTTAAGTTGGCCCCATTTCTTTTTTATAAGAAAGCTTAAAATGAAACATCTAGAAAGTTTGTTTCCTCAAATCCAATAATATTTTTGAGCAGATTTTATTCCAAAATTTTCTGATGACCATTTTGCAAACTTTTGAACTAAGTGCTTCTTAAAATTGAGTAAAGATTGTGTAGGAGAGTAAGCATAGTTTGGTTTCCAAATTAATGTAATTGCCTATCTCCTTAGATTTTGATTACATTGTATGTCAAGTAATCTTTATAAAGTATTACCTTTTTTAAAATAATAGCTGATATCAATGATAAATAGAAAATAAAATAATTTAACATTACTATATTTCTAGTTTGAGTACAGATCATAATTTTAGTTTATAAAATTATACAAACCACTGTATTGCAGGTCTACCACATGCCAGACACTGTTCTGGCAGTATGAATAAAATGAGGCTACATAGACATGGCCTTGCCTTCCTCTAACTTTGTAGTGTGTGCTTTCTAAAGGATTTTATGCCTCAACTCCAAATTTTTTCTTTTGTCCTGTATGTCTTAAAACTCTCAAATATCCGAGTATTCTGAAAATGCTTATAGAACTAGCTCATAAAATTTAATCTTGGGTGATTAAATACTACCCCAAGAGCAGGGGAGTTCAGTAGACCAACTTTTTCAAAAGTTACATGTTCCCAAATCCCTAATATTGCCTCTAGAAATCTGTATTTTTTCCTGCAGTAAAAATACAATTATACTCAAATAGTCATTTTAATTGTATAAACAATATAGCATAAGGTATGTACACATAGTACTCAAATTATTCTTTTATTGATATTTTTTCAATTTATTTTATACTATATATTTGAAGAATGCATCTGTTCTTACCAGATAACTGTTTCACCAGTAATCACATTTAGTCACCACATATTGGAGTGAAACGATTCAAGTCATATGGACAGTGATCAGCAAAATGGATAAAATTAATGCTGTTGGAATGGATAAACTCAATGGTGTAATTAAGGTTCACCTATAGTTTCACCTATAAGGTAAAAAAAAAATGAAACAAAACACCTCCCACCCAGCAGTGCTAAACACTGAAAAAAGTAAATGCACATTAATTCCACTTCAACACACTATGTGGTTTTCTTTCTGTTTGAAAGACCCATATTTTTATATCCTCAGCTGCCCATATGCTATATTCACATTTTTCTAAAGGACTAGACAAATAAAATCTGTGAAGGAATCTCAGTTATTATAGTAACTTACATGTACCCTCACCATTGCTACCTTGGCCAAAACACTTGTGTTCATAACAAAGCATCACCCTTCAGGAGCACCTTTCCATTTTATCAGACAATGTTGAAATGCTACTAAATTCCCCTATTTTTTATTGCTCTCTCTTTTTTATCTTTTTTAATCATTTTGTAGCAAAAAATGTCATATTAACAATAAAGAAAAGCTGTATACTCACCTTCCTGAATGAAAGCTATTTTTATGTGTAGAGTAGATGATGGTGCAGGGGCAAAACTTATGTGAGGAAAGTGGAGAATGGACTTCTATGAGGGAAACTCACTAGGGTGGTGCATGCCAAATGTTATTGCACTGTTATTTTTCATACTAATGGCAGAATCCTTGAGTTACTCAAAAATAAAATAAAAAAAAACAGGAAAGTGATAGTATTCGAAAACATCAGTATAACTAAAACATACCTTGTATTAAACCATGAACCTTTCCAAAACAGTTTTTGATGTATTTTTATTGTATTTAAACAAACCTACTTCAAAATTAATGCTATAGAATAATCATTTTAAAAAACATTATGGGTTTTGTTTGTTTGCTGTTTGGCTTTCTGGAATTCTTTTTGGAATATGTTACCATTAAAACACAAAACTATTTATGACAACCATCAATAAACATATTTTTAAAAATAGTCAAATCACTGTATTTCATTAACAGCTTTATTAGTTAGTCAAAATACTGTATTTGTGATACATTAGTAAAATATTAGCAAATAAAACAGGTTTAGAAATTTTATAGTGTTTATTATTATTGTTTTAGGGAGCTCTGGTGGTGTAGTCGTTAAGGCATTTGGTTGTAATTTGAACACACCAGCTGCTCCATGGAAGAAAGATGATGCAGTATGCTTTCCTAAAGATATACAGCCTTGGAAATCTGATGGGGGTAGCTATGAATCAGATTAAACTCTATGGCAGTGAGTTTGCTTTTACTTTGCTATTATTGTTGTATGAGTTTCATAAGGAAATCATGAATATATTTGAAATGAGTTACACAATTTAAAGTACACATCCATGCACAAAATAAAGCAGAGATTTTTGTTAAAGTTGTATCACTTCGTATTGTTATGCAGGCACTTTAAAATAATTATAAAATTTCCTACCATGTAATTGTGTGCTTTTCAAATTACAACACTTACAAACAGGATGATCAAGAGAAGAGTAGTAGAAGAGAACTTATAATAAAAATAAATGCATTAAAAAGTAAAACCCATATCTAAAATCACTCTCATAGTTTTTTGATTTAAAAATGCAACATTTGAGGCATTAGTAAAAATGTTAAAAGGACTGAAACACTTATATTGGCTCTGGAAAAGTCTGTGTGTATATTTTTTAAAATACATTTATTTATATTAAGGGCATTACAAACTTGAAATAAGAAATCAAAGTATAATAATAATAATTAAGGAAGACAACCATTTTAGTCCTCACTTAGACCCTAAAAACACTAAATCTCTAAAGGGTTTTCAAAGTAATCGGTTCTTATCAAATCTCTCTACAGAGTATTTTCACTTTGGGAACTTTCCAGATTTCAGGATTGTCCCTCTCTAGAGGAGCCAAAGCGTTGTTTCCAGATTTTCTCAGCAACTGTGTTTTTCACAGTTATGTGAAAAAAGTTAGTGGTTAGAATTCTAGCTGTATTTTCATCAAGATTTTAACCCTTCCTGTAATAACTAAAACTGAATTTCTGGCAAGCAAAGTAAAACTTGCTATCCTACTACTCTGAAATGTTCAGAGTGACAAAAAGAGAGATTGTTGATGGTGCTAGACGTGGAACCAGGGCTGGCAAAAAAAGAACAAAAGGAGTTAAAATAATCATTCTTTCTTTTCTGTAATCCTTGCCTGACCGCCCCAGCAATCAAGGATACTGGAACAATGTCCTCACCAGCAGTGTATTCATGCAAGACCTAACTCCCTAGGGTTTTCTCCCCCAGAGTAGTTTTCATCATATTCAAACTGAAATGAAACACATTCTTTCACACCCCAGACTCCCAGCATACACACTCACACACAGGCTTGACTTTACCTGTTTTTATGCCGAGCCTTTAGCAAGTTTTTTCCAAAAGGAGCCATGGTCTGCTGCTGTGCAGGTAAATTTCAGGACTGTATCTCAAAGTTTCTGGGGGTGGAAATGGAAGCAAGGGTGGGGGTATCTGGATTTAAGGGTGGGCTGGCAGCTGGTTTCTTCACCTTCTCAGACGTTTGTGGCTTCCAGCTCTTCAGTATCACCGGTTAAGAGTGCTGCTGGAAGTTGTGCAACTGCTCCTTAACTTTGAACTGCAGGATTGTTGTGGCTGTTGCACCTTTGGAGACCTGCCCAGACTCAGCCTCAGCCTGGAAGAAGGCGTTTGGAAGCAGGAAAAGAAAAAAAGAGAGAGAGAGGAAGGGAGGGAGTTCTCTATTGTGTTTGGTCATTATTTGCAGATTTGCTGAACTTTAAGAACTGCCAACCCCACAGGCATGGTAATGCCCATGGAATGGGAATTTCACTCTATTTGGAAACCCCCCTGCTCCTGCCTTACACACCCAACCCCAACCACACAAGGTGAACTGAGCACACTTAATGGGATTAAAAGTAAATACCTCCACCTCCCAGCCAATTCCAGTTTATGAATAGTAATCTGTGAATAGTAATAGTGGCAAGCATCAGTGAGGGCCAAGAACTCCTTGTCTACTGACTTGACACAAATATCCCCTGCTCTGGGTTTCTCTGCTTTAAAATATATTGAGGAGGGGCATAGATTGAGGTGGATTCAAACATTACTTAGGATTTGAATCACCTGAGTTCACCATTTTAAGAGCTACGACTTGATGGCAAACAACAACAACAACTGCCTCCCCAACACCCCTCCTTCATACTCCCAAATTCATCTTCCAAAAGTTTAAGGATCTGAAGGCTCAAAGGGTTCAAAGCCTGACTGATCACATCACTGATGTAGGAATCAGCTGTGGTCTTATGTTGGACTCTGGTGGCATTTACACAGACCCCAGTCCAATCTTTGGCACTCACTGGCCCATAAGGGTCTTAGGAATTTCAGAGGAAAAAGCAAACTGCTCCTGTTCCCCCAATCTCCTCCACCCCTAAAGTGAGATAGGACTCACCTACAGGATCTCATAGAACTCGAAGTGTGGGGTGGTGGCCGAGGCATCCAGCAGCCTGGGGCAGGGCTGTGTAAGTGGACCTGGCTGTGTAAGTGGACCTGGCTGCGCAAGTGGACATGGCTGCTATGCGCCAGCGCTGCTCCGAACAGCCCCCAGGAACCAGCCGCAGCAGAGAAAACCTCTTATGGGCCAGGGCTAGAAGGAGTTTCCCAGGACATTTTTCCTGGGATTTCGTGCCCTCCAGCTTGTAATCATCAGCATCAGACCCAGAGGGAGGGAGCGAGAGGAAGCCAGTGGACTGTGGCTTCCCTGTGAGTCACAGCTAGGCTCTGCAGGCCTTAGCAAAGAACCTGAAGGGCCCACACTTTCTCTGGCAGCTCTCCACCCAGATTGCACACACACACACACAAAGGTGTTCTCAAAGGCTTCTACAATTCTTACATGCAATACTCTTTGATTTATACAATAATCTATGTTGTTGTTGTTGTTATGTGCCGTTGAGTTGGACCTGACTCATAGCGACCCCTCCTTGGGGTTCCGAGGCAGTATCACTGCAGAAGTAGCTTGCCCCACCTTCCACCTGAGAAAATAATTTTTTCATTAGTTATCATCATAAACACTCTCCTTTCTGCATTATATATGTATATGTATTACATTATATATGATATATATGCATTTGCTGTCATTATATATATATATACACACAACATATATACATGTATGTGTGTTTATAGATATATATGCATATATGTATGTATATGTATAAATACAGAAATTGTTATAGAGAACACTATATAGTCAATGTTATAATTCAGTGAGCTTTTTTTCCTATCCTTCTGAGATAAAATAATTAAAAAAAAAATCTTAAACAGATCTATGGCCAGTGGTACTAGATAATACTTTTATAATATCAAAAATGGACACTATTCCCACATATGTAAATGTATGTGCTATAAAAGTTTCCACATGCATTTTGGAAATAATAAGAGGCAACTTCTTAGCCATAAATAAGCTCCTGGAGGGAATAGGTCCTTAGGGCAGGCTGAAGACCATAGTCACAGGCAAAATCAAACTAAAGAAATACATATATATGTATGTGTGTGTGTGTGTGTGTGTGTACCACCTCGGAAAACCAAGGAGGGGTCGCTATTGGTCGGCTCCAACTCCATGGTATAAGTTTGTTTTCTCTATATATTTTTGATGCAACTTTCACTCTACACTTTTATGTTTAAAGAGACCTGGTGGTGAAATGGTGAAAGCTTTGGGCTGTTAACCAAAAGACTGTAGTTTAACCCAGCAAACAGCTCTGAAAGAGAAAAGATCTGGAAATCTGCTTTTGTAGAGATTACAGCCAAGAAAACCCTATAGGACATCAAGTCAATTGGCATAACATAACCCACAAAATCATTGTTCTATGTCCTACTTTGGTGAGTAGTGATTAAAACAAACAAACTGCCATTGAGTCAAGTCGGACTCATAGTGACCCCTCCAAAGCAGTATCACTACTGAAGTAGACTGCCCAGTCTTCTTTTGGAGGAGTGGCTGGTGGGTTTGAACCACCAGCCTTCTGGTTAGCAGTCAAATGCTTTAGGCACTATGCTACCAGAGCTCCTGAGTAGTGATTGGGGTCTTAAAATCTTGTCTGGAGCAAAGAGCAAAAGAATCAAAGACGCATGGAAACAATTAGTCTAAGGGACTAGTGGACCATGTGAACCTCAGCCTTCATGATCCTGAGACCAGAAGATCTAGAGGATACCTGTCTACTACTGAAACGGATCACAATAAGGACCTTGGATGGAGTGGAAGAAAATTGTGAGACTCAAAATAATAAGCAAGGTCAGGCTCACTGGTCTGATAGAGAGTGGTGGAACCCCTGAGACTATGGCCCTTAGTCATTCATCTAGCCTGGAACTGAACTCATTCCCAGCTCTCTGTTTATAGCCGAACAATAGACAGGTCAATAAGGTCAACAACAGCACCAGGGAGGTATGCCTTAGAACATCCAACCATAAGAGATCAAAAGGGCAGCATTTGCCTGGGGATAAAGCTCAGAAGGCAGGAATTGGTAGGAAAGTAGAACAAAGGAAAATGGTAGCCACAGGGAGGAAGTGCTGTTACATTGTGGGGATTACAATCAATGTCAGGAAACAAAATGTGCCATGAACTTTTGAATGGAAAACCAGTTTGTAAGTTTTCAAATCACAACAATAAGAAGTTTTTTTTTTTTTTTTTCAATCAAATCCTATAGGGCAATTCTACTCTGTTACCTGGACTTAGTAAGAGTGGGAATCAACTCCATGGCACTGAACAATAACATGTTTATGGATAAGTATAAACTTTACATGCAACATATATTGAATAATCTTGAGTATACTTGAGTTTCAGTTCTTGACTTTATTTTATAAGCACATCCCAAAAAATGTTTTAAACAATTATGGAAGTTTGCCCAGATAATTGTAAATTGTTCCAAATATAACCCCCTAAAGCTATGCTGTTTTCTTATTAAGATAATGATTATAGTCAATTTGAAAATAATTTTACATTTAGAAATATCCCTATAATATTTCCTATAGTTTTGGTTCTCCACCCTTATTAATATTATTTGTGTGTGTGTGTGTGTATGGTATTACATTTTTTCAATAAAAGAGTTTTATTGGAAAAAAAGGATACAGCATTAGATCTTTATTACCATAATCTTATGTTGCATTTCAAGTTAGCACAAATGAGAGTCTCATTTATGATGTTATTATTTTCACATAAAATATCCTACTAATATTTTTCATGACAAACCCTTTGATGAGTCATAATTAAACACAAAGAGTTGATGTAACTCAGTTATTAACAGATTTCAAGAATCAAAAACACAGATAATAATACCCCAACAGGAAAATAATCAAATAAGCAAAACACAATTTTAAAAGAAAATAACAAAGTATGTTTTAAATATATGACTTCACTAGTAACTGATTGCGAGATTAAAAAGGAAAAAAAAAAAAAAAAACTATTACCATACAGTCAATTCTGACTCATACGACCTATAAAGCAGAGAACTGCCCCCATAGGGTTTCCAGGGCTATAAATCTTTATGGAAGCAGACTGTCTCATCTTTCTCCCTGGAATGGTGGGTTCAAATCTCTGACCTTCTGGTTAGCAGCAGAATGCATTAACCACCATACCAGCAGAGCACCAGAGTTCCTAAATCCTACGTATGTAAACTGAAATAATTTATTTTGCATCTCTAAACCGGCAGATTTTTTAAATGGTGATGCCCAGCTTTGTCAGTATGACGGTCACACATATTCTACATGAGCAGTGTAAATGAGTGTATCCTTTATAGAAATGAATTTGGCAATGTTTATTATTAACCTTTCTGGTAGTTAAGTTTATGAGTCAACTTGGCTGGACCTGGTTGAGTGGCTGGACAGGTGGAGGTAGTATTCCCCATGATGAGACTGGTAATCAACTCCATGGTCAAATCTACAGTGAGCAGCTGAGTAGCTGCCTTAGGGATGTGGTCTGCTTCTTGTATATAAGGAGAAGCCTTGGGGAACAGTCTCTAGCTTAGGCACCCTTGAACCCTGCATGTAGCTCTGTCGTTGTTCAGTAGCCTGCCATATTCTGCCAATCATGGGACTTTCAATGGACTTGAATTAATGGCCTGCCATGTGGTTTGGCAACATTGGGACTGTGCCTTTTTACTTGTTAACTTTGGACTTGTCAGTCTTAGCAGCTAACAGCTGTCTGAGTGAAAAAAAAGCATCTAGCTCCAGTGGGCCGGGAGCAGGAGGCAGAACTGAAAGCCCCAAGGTTGAGGGGCTTTCAGCCAGCCCCTAGAGTCTGGCACTTTAAACTTGGAATTAAAGCTTCTGAACTATAAGAGAATGAACTTCTGTTTACTCAAGCATCTCATGTGTGGTATATTCCTGTCAGAGTGGCACTAGGTAACGAGAACAACCTTCAAAATATTCAAAATCTTTTATGTAAATTTTTTACCTAAGAATTTTTCCCAATGAAATAGAGTTTCATAAAAAAGCTTATGTTCATTGGATTTCATTTTGGGTACTAAATTAAATAGTGAATGAAAATTGCTGACTTACCACTTGAAAAGGGACCAAAATTAGAGATCCTGAATAGAGTAGAAGAAAAATTGTGGAACAAAATTAAAAAAAACATAAAGAAGACCAGGATTACTGGTTGGGCAGATACTGGTAAAATCGCCAAGACTACAGTCCTTAATCCCCCTTTTAGCCTGGAATTGGACACTCCTGTTGCTTAACTCTCAGAGAGGCTGAGGAGCTGAACAACTACACCAGGGAGAT